TAATGCTGATATACTAACATTATGTGAAGATACTACAGTCAAGGTAATCCCTGTCGCACTGGCGAAAGATGCAATGCAACTGAAACCCGGTTTGCTCTATGACAGCAGGCAGGCAAGATTGATTGGAAGTACTCTTAACTTGGATTACAACTTTATTAGACAAGGTGAACCTGATAAAGATACCCTAAAAAACTCTATTGTACAATAAGCTGAAGTCATGTGCTTAACAACTCTAGATGCAAAGTTTTCCTTGCCAGTCGGTGTTAATCATTTGACCAAAGGTCTCACAGCGTTAGATACGTTGAATATGATAAAGAATGAAGCACAAGAGATAAATACTTGTCTTGACCATTTGCAACACGGTGGAACTGAAAACATTAAGGTTCCAATGGACTGTTTCAGTTACTGCAAGACCTGTATTGAATTAGGAACTGTCTGCGATGATTGCTGTGAAAAAGGCCACACTCATATTGAGCCTGCACTGCGACCATGTGATTCTTGTCTAGAAAAAGATATTCAGTGCATTAAAGCTGCAGTTATCTGCGTCAGACGATTCTGAATCGAGAAATGCTAGTGCACAAAAAGAGCTTGTAAATCAAAAGGAAGATGAATCAGATCCTCTGTTGTCAGTGATATCTCCCATCCCAGATGGTGTACATGTTGCAAAGAGGAAACGGCAGAGTTTCTCAAATTGGTTCCTGTTGGTCAACAAGTACCGAATAAATCTAGTTTAACTCAGAGAATTGAGGAATGACAATGCCTTCCATTCATTGCTAGCACCCTTACTACCACTAAGTGCAGTGAGAAATCGTGATCGTCAAGATGTCGAGTCTATAATGGAGATCTCGAGTCCATCTGTAAGAAAGATTCTAACTGACAATGCCAAAGTCGTAACTCACACAGTAGTACCTGAGAAGTACAGGCTAAGGGAGGATAACAAAACAGGGGTTTTGAAAGCACCTATTGGAACATGTATGGGTCCACTTGGACATGTCTTTGTCAGTGACGTCACGCAGGGTAAGGTATACAAGGTAAGAGCAAATCACTATCCAGCAAATGTGACTGTAGAAATGGATAACTTGAAACATCCGATTGGAGTTGCTATTTTCAAGAACATACTGTATTGCGCAGAGTCAAAACGGAATGCTATTGCATTCAAAGACTTAACCGGGAAAACAGTTGTTGACGTCCACAAATTGACTGTTGAGAAGCTTAAGAAGAAACTTAAAGATATTGGTGCATGGAATAACAACTGTAGTGGAAAACCAAAGAAATGTCTTCAAGATAAGCTCAAAGAAGCATTAAACAATATAGCTGCGTTCGAGACAAGCTCAGTGCAACAGAAATCGCGCAATGAAACAACTCCTTTGCATATTGACTTTGACAAGGAAATTAAGCAGCCTGTGACACTATGTTTTGATCAAGATGGACATATGTATGTCTCGACATTCACTGGTGCAGTCTACATCGTGCTGCTTCATTGCAACTTCGTCGGTTTAAAGGGAACTGTGGCGTCTTCTCTTCAGCTAGATTCTACACTTCTATATGGGATAGTGTCATTAAACAACGTGGTTTACGTGTCTGCACACGAAGACGATGGAGGTATATACAGAATTACCTTCGACCACAACAACACTGGTATTGCTGAGAAGCTAGTTAGTAACCGTACTTCAGTCTGCAATAAAGTACATAGTTTATCCGCCTACAATGACGAGTCGTTTGCATTTAGTGACACTGGAGACTTTTGTATTAAGGCCTATAACCCTGCAACAAAGCAGTTCTCTGTGATAGTTGGCAATGGAAAGGGTACAAGAGACGGAAGCAAAGCCCAGTTTTCTCAACCAACAGGAATCTGCTTTGATTATGACACTCTGTTTGCCATTGACACGGCAATAGGCACCCTTCGCATGACAAGCAGTGTCACTAGTTTGGTAGACTATTTGGAGCATCTCTATATATTTGGAGAGACATTTGGACTTCACACAAGGAAAGGTACTTCGGTCACCATAGATATTTCGCAGGCAATCGAGAGACTAAAGCAAGTCTATACCTTTGATCAAAAGTGCGTAAATGCGGTCATGAAACTTATTGGCACAACAACTGTGACGCAAGGTCCTCAAGGAACAGTTTCGTCTGTTGTTATGGAGGATGAAGGGAGGATCCTAAAGTCTCTCCATGAAATCAAGGAACTTCTGGACCGCTTCAGTCCAGGTCTCACCTCCAAGTTTAACATTAAAAGTCTTCTAACACTTGTCGTCGAAAACACATTCTCGGAAATGAGAAGTGGTGCCACTGACATGCCCCTACAACTTGAATTTGATTACAGATTCAGTAGGGCCATCAAAGAACGGTTAAAGAGGCAATGTGTTACTCCGTTTGTATACTTTACTGCTCCAAAGTCCTACTACCCACAAGTTTTCACCACAACACATTACAAGGATTTACCCAAGTTACGTCCTCCAAAGGCGCACAAATTATCTGAGAAGCAGGTGAATGAGATGAGGAATTGGAGAGCGGTGTATGGTCAGAGTGTACCCCAGAAGACAGTTCGCAACATGACAACGAAAGACAACCCAGGAACTCTACCGATAAACCTATATGCAGCTGAATCTCCGATTGAAGAGCCTTTAGATTTCAGTGTGCTGAGTGAAGAAGCAGCAGATCCTACCTCGCAGACAGGCCCAGCTGAGACTTTGTATAAAGTAGATCAAATTGTCTGTGTTAAAGATCCTCACCAATTGTTCATAATAGCCCTTCTGCAAGATAATGTGTATGTTGGCATGAGGAGGGTGGAAGCCAAAGTGTTCATTCAAGATCCTTTTAATCTAGTTTCGTTCACTGAAGATTCGGTGAGATATGTCGGTTTGAGCAACATTGTTTGTGCTCTAACTTCCAATAAATACCGTGAAGATTCCATAGAGCTTGCAGAAGATGACCTTATCCTTCTTCTTGATGCACTTCAACAAACCAGTGAAGTCATTTCTGTTGCAGAAGCAGCTGAGACAACAGAAAAGATGATATGCATGCTGATGAAAGACGTTTGGGAAATGCCGTTCAGCGATTCCTGATAATGCGACATTTTACGTAAATTATACATATTGTATTCATGTTGATGACACAACTAATATACATGTATACTAAACTATTAAATACAATATACATCATTGATCTTTTGTTCTCTATTACACAACTTCTTAATGGCCAGAACAAGCAATATATAATATGCTCATACAACCATTTCCTATTTTTAGGGCTTTTTTGTCGTTAATTTTGCTTCCTAGCCCGTGTTTTTGGTTTCTGTTGCTGCTCTTGTGTGGATTTATTTGAATTTGTCATCGATTCCCAATATTGCAGTTCAGCATCTAGCACTTCCATTTTCCTTGTGTGTTCATTTATTATATATTTTTTTTTAACACCAAGATCTGCATCTCTGCTTCATGCTGCTTGCTTTGCATGTCCAAACAAGGTGCTTGGGCAGCGGATATTTGAGGTTTTCTTGTGAATGATGGTGTGAGGGCAGCGTCAACGACAGCGTCAATGACGATTATCATCATCAAATACATTATTTAAGCTGTCGATTTGGGCCGGAATTGTAGAAGCAACAGCAGCAGCTTCATCGTCTTGTTTCGACGATGATGGACCGCCACCAGTTAACTTAACCTCTCTCTTCTCTCTCGCCAGTTGTTTTTTCGCACAAGCCTTGACGTTTTCCCAACACTTTTTTTAATTCTTTGCATCCCTCTTCGTCACACCTGACTGGGAATTGAATTGTTCGGATACAGCCTCCCACATTTTATTTTTCTTGTGTATGGTTTTGTAATCATTCTTTTCATTTTCTAGACGATCTTTGTGCTTTCGAACTAATTCAGTTAACAGCGACCTTTCCAATTGCAAAAAATATTGTCTACTACCTTTAGCCATCTTAATCAGTAACGTCATACGAACGCATTGACATGACTAACAACTGTCTTACTAGTCTATATACCTTCCATCATTCATTAATATTCAACATCAAAGCCAAACTCCAGCAAGTCACACTCGAGTGACGTCTTTGAATTCAAATCTGCCTAATATTTTCGAGGGTGAGTGACCCCTCATTGAGCGTACACTCTCACTCCACTCTCACTCACACTTCATTTCCACTTGAGTGCATCTCACTTGAGTCCCACTCAAGTGTGAGTGTGAGTGAGCTTTTAGAATACAGGTGATAGTATTTAGGCTATTTACAGGATTTAATTACAAAGTCTAAAGGTATAAAGAATAAAAAAACAATGTACATATATTTACAAGTTTCTTTTAGGATGTTGTTTTGATCAGAAAGTGTGAGTAGCAATTTTATTTCGAAAACTTGAGAGGGTTTTACACTCTCATTTGGAATAGAATTCCATAGGTGTGCACCATCATACATGAAACTATTTTTCATATTATTTGTTCGAGGTTGTGGTAAACTAAGTCCACTGGAAATATCCCGAAGTTGGTAATTTACCATTCCACTTTTATAAGTGTACAGGTTTGTGAGTGATTCGGGACCCATTTTATTCAAAACTTTGTACATTTTTTTTGCCTTTGCCTTTTTTCTCATCAATTTGAGTGGCTCCCAGCCTAAGGCGTGTAAAGCAATACAGTGATCTACATCATTTGTCATACCCTTGATAATTTGGAGTTTTTGAAGTTGTTTCGACTGCGTTTCGCCAAATACATCCCACACTTCACAACAATAGCGAGCTTAAGCAGAGCGCGTCATGACCGCGATGACGACGCAAAAATATGCGGAGTGGGACCGGGGCGACAGCGTCATGTCATCGTCCTCAAGCGGTTAAGCATGCTTACGATTCTCCGGCAGCCGCCAGCCGGACGCGCGAGCTACAGAGTGGCGCCATTTTTCAAAAATGTTCTTTCGTGAGATACGCAATTTCGCCTCCCTATGTTATGGCTTTGGGTACATCACGGCCGAAGAATACGCTGTTCTGCTTGAGGGATACCAGTCAAGCAATCCAGAGTTTCCTTACGATGAGTATCCTGCTTTTGACCTCAACAGCATGGATGAGGCTGAATGTCTTGCAGAATTTCGGTTTGAGAAACGACATATCCCTTTGCTTGCAGAAGCACTAAGAATCCCAGCATATTTTACCACACCGCAGAGGAGCCGTGTAAATGGATTAGAAGGCCTGTGCATTTTGTTAAAAAGATTATCATATCCTTGTCGTTACAGTGATATGATACAACGCTTTGCGTACCCTGTTCCTGTTCTGAGCATGGTAACAAATGAAGTACTAAATTTTCTTTACGAGACTCATGGTCATAGAATATTGCAGTGGAACGATTTACTTCTTAATCCAGCAGCACTCGAAGATTATGCTCATGCGATATTTAACAAAGGAGCGCCCTTAAGGAACTGCTTCGGATTCATAGATGGCACGATTAGACCAATTTGTCGTCCTGGTGAAAATCAGCGTTTTGTTTTTAATGGGCATAAACGACTACATTCGCTAAAATTCCAGTCAGTTGCGATTCCTAATGGACTGATTGCAAACATGTACGGTCCTGTAGGTACGTCAGCAAATTTGTTTTGAAATGTTTTATCAGAAATTGGGTTTATTTTTAATAATAATATTGAAAGACAAATAGTTTAGGACAATTAGGGCAAAGAAATATGTAAGTCTTGTTATTCCATACTGACAATTAAACTGTTTTTATGGTCATCACAAAAAATGCTGCGAAATGCAAATGGATCCCTATGAAAAGTGTATAAATACCATTCACCTAATGTAATGCCGTTATTCTTTTAGAGGGAAAAAAGCATGATTCTGGAATGCTAACAGATTCAGGTCTAATGGCAGAACTGGAAGGAAGGGCATATTCAACTGATGGACAAGCCATGTGTCTCTACGGTGACCCTGCTTATCCATTAAGGGTACACCTTCAAGCACCTTACCGTGGAGCCCAATTAACAGAGCAAATGAAATTTTTCAACAAATCAATGAGTGCTACAAGAGTCTCAGTTGAATGGCTGTTTGGAGACATCGTTAATTACTTCAAGTTTGTTGACTTCAAAAGAAATTTGAAAATAAGACTTAGCAGTGTGGGGAAAATGTACTTAGTATGTGCTTTGCTGCATAATTCACATACCTGCTTGTATGGTAACCTGACTTCAGAATTTTTTGGAGTTGCTCCACCAACACTTCAGCAATATTTTGGTTAATTGAAAAACTGTGCAACAATGTATAATTTGGAACAAATAAACATAATTTACAAACTATAGAACTTTAAATAGAAACAGTGGTGTAATCAGCATGATAAATTAAACCTGCTATGCTAGGATAATATTTTGGGGCCGGTTGTTCGAAAGGCGTTTAGCTTAAACGGTGGATAAGCAAAAGTTTAAACTTACATCTTGTGAATGACTAAATCTGCATCGTATGCATTAAATATGTACTTCCATTGACAATTAAGCTATTTACATCAAAATATTTCAGCTCAGTTGTTCGATAAATATACAGTTTTGTTTTCCATTTTGAACTTATCCACCGTTTAAGCTAAACACCTTTCGAACAACTGGCCCTTGGTGTGCATTATTTTGAAAACAATCAATTTCTGAATCTATCTTAACATTTGCATAAAGGGACTGAACGTTCAGGCTGGCTACACCACTTAAAAGAAACTGTTAAACTATTGTGTAACACCTGCCTGTTTCATAATAATATAAAAAGTTATAATTTAAACTCAAACAAACATAGTTTGATCCCCCACCCTTCTGAAGAGAGGGATAAACAGTTCTAAAAAACAAGAATGAGGGTGTGCATCTTTTGCACAATAATATTTTGTTAAGTTTTTTGCATGCTACAACTATTAAATGAGTTCAACTATATTATTAATCAATTCTGCAGTAGTCGCAAGTTTTCTAAAAAAAGTTTTCAAAAGTAGAAGATGGAAAGTTAAAAAAAAAGAAGGGGGAGGGTAAAACCTTTCTGAACAATGTTTAATTTATGTGATTTTGAACAAGAACTATGAACTAAATCAACTAATTTTCTTTGAGGTTTTGCAAATATGACAGAATTGATTGTTGCTGTTGCATCATCATTAAATTCTGTTGCTGCTGGTGCTCTTGTTGACAAGCATTATCTTTCTGCTGTTGGGATAGCAATTCCAAAAGACTAGATTGAAACTGTTGTTGCTGCTCCATTCGATTATTTTGAGCTTCCTCGGCACGCTTCTTGGCTTCGAATTCAGCTTTCCTAAGGTCATAGTCTAACTTTGTCCGCTCTTTTAAAAACTCTATTGCTTCATTTCCAGTTCTCCTTTTCTTAGCTGGTTTTCCTTCCTTGCCTTCATTCTTTCTGCTTTTAGTTTCTCCCAGAGTCTCCATTGCCACCTGACGTATTCCTGCTGCAGTTTGGCAATCCTCTTCCAATTTCTTTATCTTTGAGGTGTTAATGGGGACTGTTGACTCCATTTTCTCAATAATTTCTTCCAGTAAATCAAATCTTTCATCAATATCTGGGTCTATTCCGGACTGATTCATCTCTTCACGATTTCTTTTTTCAAACCATTTAATAAGTTTGTTCAATTTGTCTCGCAAATATCGTTGACTCACATCAAACTTTGGGTGGTCCAGAGCATTAAGCTTATCTGAAATGTCGTCCCACACTTTACCCCATTCAATGCTTCCTTTTTTATAGATAAATAAATCACTGACCAAAACTTCCCTCAGGAACAAAATATCATGATCTTCTGACCAAGTTTTACTATCAAAAAATTACATAATAGATATATAACAAATACAAATATGAATTTGCTTGAATTAGATGGCAGACTAACTATCCCTTCTCCAATATTTTCCCTTCACAATAAAAATTTTCTGGTGTCGGAGCTGTGCCATTAGAACAAGTTCAACATGCACAAATTGAACAAACCCAAATATTAACGTAGTAAAATGACCACAAACAAATTTCCTCTCATTAAAATGAATTTAGAAACATAAAACCGACAAAGTAAGGAATCTCACCTAATTGGCTTTGTACTACAAGCTGCGCTAGAATCCATCGAGAATATTCAATTCTAGTAAACATTCAAATTAAAAAAAATTTGCTATCTTTATTGATAACGCAAGTCAAATGAACTATTAAAATGAGTTCGGCAAACAAAAGAACCGGAAAAATACCCAAAAAATGGAAAAACAATGGAAAAAAACTTACGTTATAGCCACAACGGGAAATCCTCTAAAATCACGTCGTATTGGCGACCACGACAACGCAATCTCAGGAAAAAACATGCGCAGTAGCTTTCAAGTGGGTCATTTCACTTCCGGTTTGTCGTCGTCGTGATCCTGACGTGCTTTGCTTAAGCTCCCTAATAATTGAAGTGTGGACGAACAATAGCATTATATATTTGCTGACGCAGCGTGCGAGCCTGAAGTGAGTGAGCAATTCTAATTCGTACAGAGCTCTAAAAGTAAGATTTTACTTCCGTTTTTTGAACCAGCATGCATTGCTGTTAACCGACCAGAATGCATCACTGTGCACTGCTGTTAACTGACCAGAATGCTTTGCGTACATGATGCTATAAATACAGCAAATCTGAGTAGTTTACTTAGTTGATTTACTTAGGTTTAAGTATATCGAAGTAAATTCTACACATAATATATCCAACTCGACTGATTATAGTCGTTCGCTGGCTTTATAGCATTATATCATAACTCAGTTGTAACGACTTGTACAACTTTTAATCGTGGCTGTTTGTGCTATACATTTGACATTTGCTATGCATGCGAAATGTTCTTATTTAATTCATGCTGTTAATAAATAAAACTGATAAAATAAGCAGATAACGATGCAATTGCTTTGCCTTTGGTGTATGTATTATTCATTATATGGCCTATAGATTCCTGCCTGGTCTTACACTATACTGAATTTGCTTAGTACAAACAATTTATAACGCTGACTGAAAAGAGACATTTTTGTGTTTGTGTTCCTTGCTTTAGGAATTTATTTTGTATTCAGCAGTGAAGACTTTTGGAGTGATGGTAATTTGAAGTATGTATAAATGTGTTTATTTTATACTTGAAAAGCATTTCAGTTAAATGTCGTTACCAAACAGTTTGGTCGGTAGACTTTTTGTTTGAGTCTGATTTGATGTAAGGCATACTGTAGAATATAGGCAGTCAAGAGACATTGGCATCAAGAGTTCAGGCAATATGGGTACAGTGGACAGAAAAGTATAGCCTTTTAAATTCAAATTAGCGAACAGTGGACAGAAAAGCATAGCCTTTTAAATTAAAATTAGCGATAATTGTAAGTGATTTGATTGTTCTCGTAGGTTTTGATCGAGTTAATAATACGCGACAAAAACTTTTTTTTACAAAAGAGATCAACTATACCTAACTTAATTCGTGCTTGTGCTGGTGTACGCATAACTAGAAAGTCTTTTGTTTATGGCTTATTAACTTGCTTGAAGCAATTATAGCTTCTCTGAGTGATGAATTCAATCGAATACGGCATTATGCTTGATTTAAATCTGAAAGGTTATATACCTTTTTTATACACACTGTATAATAGAAGGCTTTTCAGAAGAAGGATGCTTCGCATTAAAATATTGACAGCATATATTAAATATTAAAGCATCATCTAAAATTGTAAAGTCCCGGTCATGCTAGTGGAATAAGCACAAACAGAAATATAAAAGAAAACTTTGAATTGAATATTTTTTCAATTCACTGCGTTGTGTGCTCTCATATCGTAATGAATCTAAAAGTCTCTATTATGAGCAGGTTCCTTGCATTTTTCTTATTGTGAAGTACCGTAAGTGCAATGGGAGCGATTCATGCACCGCATGAGTAATTTTGTTTTGACGTCAAACTCTTGTTGTGATAAAAAGTCAAATAGACAACTTGTGGCTCACTTGCATGATTATCTATTGCTTGACAAAATGTTGAAGTGCTGGGCTGCTTTTGCCATCAGGATTTCCGATTCCATGTGACCTTCCGCTGTGTATAAAGCTTGGCACTAATATAATTGTAAACTCATTTCAACCAACTATTCATTCGATTTCGAGCAAGTTTTGAAAGGTAACGTTTTGAAAGGTTTTGTGCGTCCCAGTGACTCTAAGAGCTGTGCCGGCGGGGGTGTTTACACCCCTGGTAGGGCCTCCCAAGCCGGAAAGGTCAAAGAGTAGGGTCCAGACTAAAGACAGTCCCACGACCCTCTAGATGTGGAGGTTAGGCTTGAGGCTAACAACCTCATCCTGTAAAAAAAAACACTTGCTACGGAAACAGCAACGAAGACAGCCAACAAACTGCACGCAGACCTTCCAAGGTCTTCGAACCGTATGACGGCCAGTGGTGAAAGCCGGAAGGAAACTACTGGCATGAAGTTGGAAGTGATGAGTGCAAAAACCAAGACCAGGATTGGTTTTTGGAACGTACGTACTATGTACGAAACTGGGAAGCTTGCACAGGTTACAGCAGGGGCGGATCTAGCGGTAGTCACACCAATCACGCGACTAACTTAAAAATTCCGCACTAATTTAATTCAATGAAAGTGAAATAATATTTATTTTTCCGAACGCAGTCCAGTTGTAAATTTGCAGCGGCATAATTAATTTTCTAGCCGAATGAATTAAATTAACACTGATCTCTCTTGATATCCCCGCTCTGAATTCAAATTTCAAACTGCACAATCGTGATCGTTTTGGAGGTTTGGCCTGATTGTTTCTGGTCAATCTGATTGGCCCATTCGGTGGTTTCCAAGGAGACAAAAATGGTGATCGTTTTGGAGGTGTGGTCTGATCGTTTTAGAGGTTGGTTATGGGCGTTTTTCATCAATCTGATTGGTCAGATCGATAGTTTCCATGGCGACACAAAGTGTGATCGTTTTGGAGGTTGGTCTGATCTTCATTTCTTATTGGCTGTTTAATTCCTGACCGATCACGACCGATCAAGCGATCAGAGTCAGAGACTAGCCACCTCCGCAGGCATCTCTTATGTATTTATATTATGCATTTATATTTCACCGTGAGTGATATCACCGATCAGAGCCCGGTTCTTTGTAAGGGAATTCAAAAGAAAAACCGGTATAGAGCAGTTATGCGGGCGCTATATTCATGACACTATTAAATAACATGTCGTCGAGAGATGGATCTTTTCGTATTAAATATACTCGCATGTGTTCGACGAATTGAGAAGTGTACTGTTATAAGGTAAATTATCCAATGTTGATGTTTATGTAAACTATACTCTGATAATACTATAAGTTCATATAAACAATGGTCCGATAATTTAACTATGTTATTGTTAGCTTATATATTTTACCTAGGCTTTGAGGCTGCTGTTATTAGCATATATTTGTATTCGCCCGTCGCCCGTCAAATCGATTTAGAATTTCGAGCCTATTCATATTCTCATTGATGAACTACATCGTGAAGGCGTGGCAATTATCCTAAAGAAAGGAGCAGATAGATCGCTCTTGGAATGGAAACCTATTAACAGTCGCCTCATAATGGCCAGGCTGAAAGGAAGGCAAAACAACTTAACCCTGATCCAATGTTACGCTCCGACCAATGATAGCGAAGACCATCTGAAGGACAATTTCTATCTCAGGCTCCAGGCAGAGATTGAGCTGGTCCCGATGCAAGATCTTATCATCATCATGGGGGACCTAAATGCCAAAGTTGGTGCCGATAACTCAGGCAGTGACAGGGTAATGGAAAGACACGGGAGTGGCACTATCAATGAAAATGGAGAGAGACTTGTCGAGTTTTGCACAACAAATAATCTGGTGATAGGTGGGACCCTTTTCCCACATCGAGAGATCCATAAAATCACATGGTGTTCTCCAAATGGCAGAGATAGGAATCAAATTGATCACCTGATGATCAATGGGAAATGGCGGAGTTCCCTTCGGGATGTGAAGGTGAGGAGAGGAGCTGACATTGGTAGTGATCATCATCTGGTGACAGCCTGTGTAAAATTGAAACTAAAGGGTGCAGGGCGTCCAGCCAAGGGGCGCAGCCGTTTCGATGTGGCTCAACTGAAACATCCGAATGTGCGAAAATCTTTTATCCTCGAGGTGCGCAACAGATTCGAGGCTCTTGCGGAACTAGACGAGAAGGAGGATAGTATCAACGAAGGAGTAAATAAGAACTGGGCGAACATTGTTACTGCTTATAGCGATAGCGGCAAGGCATGTCTGGGCTACAGGCAGCGAAGGCCGAAGGAATGGATGTCACCTGATACCTGGAATGCAATTGAAAGTAGACGAAGGCTAAAAAGGAAAGTTATGGACTCAAAATCTCAACGGCTCAAAGAAAGGCATCAGCAGATGTACCGGGCAGCCAACAAGGAGGTGAAACGTCGAGCAAGAGCAGACAAAAGGAAGTACATGGAGAACCTTGCATCCTTAGCTGAGGAAGCAGCAGCACGCAATGAACAAGGAACAGTATATAAGATTACCAAGGTCATAACAGGTAAATGTCACACAACCAACACGCTTGTAAAGGATAAGAACGGTACCTTACTAACATCAGAGGGAGAACAGGAACGGCGCTGGACGGAACACTTTAGAGAGGTTTTGAACAGACCACCACCAACAGAAGTGCCAAACATCCAGGAAGCCGCAACCGACCTTGACATCAGCACAGACGTTCCAACAAGGAGGGAAATCATCCAAGCCATAAATTCCCTGAAGAATGGAAAAGCTCCTGGTGATGATAATTTAAATGCTGAACTGTTTAAAGCAGACCCTGAACTTGCTGCAACCATTCTGACCCCCTTTTTTACAAAGATATGGGAGCAGGAAGAAATTCCGTCAGATTGGAGTAGAGGAGTGATAATTAAGATACCGAAGAAAGGGTCTCTAAGTGATTGTAACAACTGGCGTGGAATTACCTTTCTGTCTGTGCCGAGTAAAATCTTTTGCAAACTCATTATACAGCGTATCACCCAAGCTGTTGATGACATCCTGCGAAACGATCAAGCTGGATTTCGCAAGGGGCGCGGATGTACGGATCAAATTTTCACACTACGGAACATACTCGAGCAATGTACTGAATGGAATAGGCAGTTGTATGTAAATTTCATCGACTTCGAGAAAGCGTTTGACAGTATCCACAGGGAAAGTCTTTGGCAGATTCTGAGAGCATATGGCATTCCACAACGCATTGTTAATATCATCAAATGCTTCTACTCGAACTTCACATGCTGCGTCGGCCAGGGGGATCTAAGTTTTGAAGTTAAAACCGGTGTACGGCAGGGATGTGTCATGTCGTCTGTGCTATTCAATATTGCTATCGACTGGGTTCTTCGTCGTACAGTGGAGGATCAGCGAAGAGGCATAAGATGGACTCCTTTTTCTACACTCGAGGATCTCGACTTCGCAGACGATTTAGCCCTATTGTCCCACACTCGTCAGCACATCCAGGAGAAGACAGACCGGCTCAGCACATTCAGCAATCAGATCGGCCTAAAAATTAGCTTGAAGAAGACGGAAGCCATGTGTGTTAATGTCCCCTCCCCAACAAAGATCAGGGTAGGAAGACAGGACATTCCATACACCGACAAGTTCACATACCTTGGAAGTGTGCTTTGCCAGGATGGCGGTACTGGTATGGATATACAAAACAGGCTGAATAAAGCGAGGAATGCCTTTATGAGCTTAAGATCAATATGGAGGTCAGCAAGCTACAGCACAAAGACGAAGCTTAGAATCTATTAGAGCTGTGTGTTGTCAACTCTTCTTTACGGCTCGGAATGCTGGCGAATGACGGAACACGATCTTTCAAGACTAGCGTCTTTTCACACAGCTAGCCTCAGGAAGATTCTGAGAATTTTCTGGCCCCGGAAAATATCAAATGATCAGCTTCTGAAGCAAACCGAACAGGAGGATATTCGTACCCTTATCACCAGGAGAAGATGGAGATGGATCGGGCATGTGCTGCGAAAGAGCAATAACAACATAGCCAGAATTGCAATGCGCTGGACACCTGAAGGTAAACGGAGCAGAGGGCGCCCAAAAACAACTTGGCGCAGAACTGTAGAAAAGGGACTGAGGGAGCTCAATTACAGCTGGAGCACCATTGAAAAACTGGCTAAAGATAAGCAGGGTTGGAAAGATTTCGTTGCTGCCCTATGTGCCACATAGGCATGATGGGCAGTAAGTAAGTAAAGTTTGAAAGGTAAGCATTACTTGTTCTTGCTCAATTTCTGGTATAGACTGTGTTATAAACAAATTATTTGAACTTTTAAACGGTTGTTCTTTATAGAATTAATATGGTCATGGTGTACCAGTTGAATACGTTGATACGAATGCAAAGATAAATATAGAAAAATTTCATCAGTCAATTATATATTCGATTTTTCAATGCCAAATTTGTTTGGAAGCCTGGCCTATAAATTACTAAACCAAAATCAGACTTTTACGTCTATAAAAGATGTGGCAGAGATAAAGAACTTCCTAGAACATTTTCAGCAGAAAACTTCATGATCCCATCGCCAGTGCCAAATGAGTTACAAAACTTGACTCAGATAGAAGAAATGCTTATTGCTGAAGCATTACCTATTATGAGAGTATATCTAAAAGCAGGTGGACAACGAGGATATTCAGGACATTGCATTAATATGCCGCAAAAAGTTGGTGAATTAGCTAAAACATTGCCTTACTATCCGAAAGAGTTACCTTCAGTTGTTGTTTCTGTGAAGGGGAAGGGAGGAATTCTAATGGATGTAACGGTCAGGAGAGCTCAAGTTGGAAGACGCATTGTGTTGGTTAATTGGCAAACAACCCTCAATACAAAGACCTTAAAATTAACATGGATACTTTAAATTCTTTGCCAGAGCACAGCATTCCAAATGATCTTAAAGTCATAGAATCATTGAATAAAGATGTCGGCAGCAACGATGATACAAGTGAACATTCTAGCATTGACAATGAAGATATTGTATACGATGAATGTACAGAAACAAGTAGCGTTGTCCCTGATATCGAGAATGATGAGTTAGAGTCTGAAGCGATTAGAAATGCATTGTTAAATAATAAAATTGATTCGCCTCAACTAGGGGAAAGACCATTGAATAAATACGCAACACCATTTCTTGCTACAATGGCATTTCCAACATTATTTCCAGATGGAAAAGGTGATTCGACAAACCCATGTCTTTTACGCGATGTGTTGTGGAATTTAGTTAACGCGTGGTTGAGCACACCAACCATAAGAAAAGTCATTTACATAGTGTGCACAGATATAGTGTTAGGGTCGTAAACTGTATATGTGTTGTAAAATGAATTGTTATGTAATGTTAATAGAATAGTGTAGTATAATATAACATAGGAAATGAAGGTTCGTGGTAGCACGTTGTAGCAACCGCGAAACCAGTAATAACGTAAACGGACGCAAATGTGGGCTGTAGGGGAGGAAAAAACCACAGAAAAACATCCTGTGGTTCGGTAAGAGATGCGTCAGAGAAACGCATCATTGTTTGGTAAAGCATCCTGTTTTAGTATTATAAATATAAGTTGAAATCATTGTTGTAAGTTAGTTGTGTATTAGAGCGTGAATTGTTAATTCCTGAATAAATGTAAAATTATATACAGTCCCAGTGTGTGAGATTGTGGACCAGCGAAGCGGAAAATCAGCCTTGTTTGGAGATTTTCAACATCTGGTCCTTCGAGCCGGATAGATAGTCGTGAAATAAGCGAAAGAACGTCAGGAAAATGTCGGAGATCACAACGAAAAAGAAGATGAGAGCCGGTCACAGAGGGCACGCAAGAAGATTGGTAAGTGCCGCTCGTGAGTTGGTATAAGTTTACGACGGACAACGCAAAACGGCCGTCAAGCAAATGAAGGTATCCCTTGAAGAGAGGATGGGGTTGTTAAAGAAGCTAGACGAGGAAATTCAAAACGTATTGTGCGAGGGTGACTCGAGCGAAGAGGTCCTTTTGGAGGACATCGAAAGTGCCGCGAAGGTTCAGGCAGAAATGCAAGAGGCGGTGTTGATGATAGAAGAAGTTTTACAAAACGAAGACACGACTTCGGAGTCGTTGAATACGAGCCAACAGTCGCAGCAAGCACCGAGCGTGGCGACGGGAACGTCAAGTCGAGCGAGGCTACCAAAACTCAAGGTGAAGAAGTTTTCGGGGCGAATCCACGAGTGGCAAGAGTTCTGGGATAGCTTTAAGAGCGCTATCCACAACAATGCGAATCTATCGGACGTAGATAAGTTTTCGTATCTTCGAGGATTAATTGAAGGACCGGCCAGAGCAACGATTGCGGGGTTTTCCCTTACAGAGGAAAATTATAACTCAGCAGTGGAACATTTAGAACGTAGATTTGGAAAGCCAGTGGCAATCGAACGTGCCCACGTTAGCGAGTTATTGAAAGTTGCGGCAGTTCATTCAGAGAGAGACGTACGCGGGCTTCGCACATTGTACGATATCGTGGAAACGCACTACCGTGGATTGTCGGCCTTGGGAGTGGACGAGAATACGTACTCAGGAATAGTCGTACCCATCCTGCTTGAGAAAATTCCTGACACGGTGCGACTAACGATCACGAGAGGGAAAGAATACTTAAACTGGACAGTGAACGATATGTTAAAAGCGCTCCTGGCTGAGGTCGAACTGCGAGAGGACTATCGGTTGACACCTACTGCGAAACCATTGGGCAGTGGGGGGAGAAGAGATCAGTTCAGCGCCAACGGACTACATGTCAACCGGGACGATAGATGTGCCTTCTGTATGGGGAAACACAGCCATGAAAACTGCAAAAGAGTGACGGATCTGAAGGAACGAAAAACGATAATACGTAAGTTTGGACGATGTTTTAAATGCTTAGAAAAAGGGCATTGCGCCCGTGATTGTAGAACTGGTAGTAAATGTAAGAACTGTAAGGGGGGTCACCATACCGCAATGTGTGAAGCTAAGATGAGCAGGCGCAATGAAGAAGAGCCTGCGCAAGATGAAACTGAGGCAGGCCAGGAAACTACATGTACGTTAGTAGAAAGTAATAGTAGGATTGCGCTCCTACCGCACAGGCCTTAATAAAGGGGGCAGTAGTGATAGGTTAGAGTATTGTTTGATTCTGGAAGCCATAAATAGTTTGTAACGGCGCAAGTAGCACGCGCGCATGAGTTAAGCATTGTTAGGAGGGAGTGGCTAAGCATAAGTACGTTTGGTCAGAAAACCACTAAGTCCGGATTGTGCGAGGTAGTTCTTATCGACCTGATTCCGGTCCGTGGTGGTAGGAATCTGACGCTGGAAGCTTATGTTGTGCCGGAGATTTGACGAATAAGCAACGAGCACGTGGAAGTTGTTAAGAAAAACTTCGCACATCTGCGTAATTTATGGTTTTCTGACGTATGTCGAACCAATGAGGAGCTCGAAATTGATTTGTTAATCGGTGCAGATTACTTATGGAAATTTCAGAGGGGCCAAACCATAAGGGGGGAGCCTGAGGAACCAGTTGCAATAGAAACTGAGCTTGGATTTGTATTAAGCGGTCGCTTGAAAGCAAACGAGTTAAGAGGTAGGGAGAGAATCGTAACAAATTTAGTGTCACAGCAGAAGGCAGATAATAGTAGCTTAGAGAACGAAGTTAAGAAGTTTTGGGATTTAGACTCGTTAGGCATCAAAGTATATGACGAGGTGCACAAATTATTCGAGAATTAAGTTAGTTTTAACGACGGGAAGTATTCAGTAAAGTTGCCATGGAAACAGGGTCATGATCCCGTGCCCAACAACTACGCAAACAGTCTGGCACGCATGCAAAACCAATTAAGAAAGTTGCGCAAAGACCCGGAGGTGGTTGCGGATTACGATGCGATAATCAAGGAGCAGTTAAAATCTGGCATAATTGAAGTAGTCCCTGCGCTAGAAAAGCCAAGCGATAAATTGCATTATTTGCCCCACCAAGCAGTTATTAGGAAAGATGCCGAGACCACGAAATTAAGAATTGTATACGATGCCTCTTGCAAGGAAGGCAAAAAAGGAACTTCATTAAATGATTGTTTGCACACAGGACCGTCACTAAACCCTTTGTTATTTGACATACTTGTTCGCTTCAGGGAGAATAAGGTCGCACTTGTAGGTGATATAGAAAAGGCATTTTTAAACATTGAAATTGATCCAAAAGATCGAGATTGCTTGCGGTTTCTCTCGGTAGATGATTATAAGACGAAAAAAAACGGAAATTATGGTATATCGTTTTTGTCGCGTTGTATTTGGGCTGAATGCGTCGCCTTTTTTATTAAATGCCACTATACGACATCATTTAAACAAATTTGTTGCAACTGATCCGCAGTTTGTAAGGAAAATGCTGAAGGATTTTATGTAGACGATTTAGTTTCAGGAGGGAAGACGAGCGAAAACGCGCATGAATTATATAATAAAGCTAAGTTACGAATGGAAAGCGGAGGCTTTCGATTGCGAAAATGGAAAACAAATGACGCCCGGCTAAGAGAAAAAATAAGCGAGACTACTAAAGATGCGCTACCGAAGCATGCTGCTGTCGGAGAAGAGGATGAAACGTACGCTAAGTCTCAGTTAGTTGCCCGAAGTGGGATGAAGGGCGAAAAGGTTTTAGGTCTTGCATGGAACTTAGAGGAAGATAAGATCTATTTCAATTTCGAACACATTGCGCATAAAAAAGAAAATTCAGTGCCAACCAAGAGGAGTCTGTTAAGTTTGCTAAGTAGTCTGTTCGATCCGTTGGGGTTGATCAGTGGAGTTATTGTAACTATGAAGATCCTTTTCCAAGATGTTTGTAAGACAAAGTTAGGTTGGGACGAAGAGTTTGGCGATGACATGAGGAAACGCCTAGATAAGTGGGTTAAGGACTTAGTAGCAACACGAGAGTTGTACGTTGATGGATGTTTATACGAATCGAGCATAGAAAATGTTGCATCGTGTTACTTACACGGATTTGCAGACGCGAGCAAGAAAGCTTATTGTGCCGTTGTTTATTTGGTTTACCGTACTAAAGAGGGCCAAGCTTGCGCAAAATTAGTAGCGAGTAAAACCAGAGTAGCGCCGCTAAAGGAATTGTCGATTCCACATCTGGAGTTAATGTCCGCTAGGATACTAGCACAGCTTGTAAACACGATCTGCAGTGCGCTAAGTTCGCAAGTGAAGCTAGATGGTGTTAGGTACTGGCTTGATAGCAAAACAGCGCTATGTTGGATAAAAAAATCAGGGCGAATGGAAACAATTTGTGCGTCATAGGGTAAATGAGATTTTAAAATTGACGAATAAAACCGAGTGGGCGCATGTCTCAACGAATGAAAACCCAGCAGATATAGGCAGTAGAGGGGTTCTCGCCTCACAGCTCAAATCAAATCAGCTATGGTGGCACGGGCCGACTTGGCTGTTAGACAATCCAGACGATTGGCCGCCTTATTCTGAAATTAGTGAAACCCCGGAAAGCTTGGTTGAGGAAAAGAAAAATACGGCGGCAACGGTTTTAGCGGTTAATTGCGATAGCGGTCTAGGGGCTGTTTTCGATATACGACGCTACAGTAAGCTAGGGAAACTTTTGAATATCACAGCATGGGTAAGGCGAGCGATTGACAATCTTAAAAGAGTCGCATCCAAGAGCGAACGTGAAACATCCCAATTGACTGCGAATGAATTGAAAAGAGCTGAGATCGGATGGATAAAAACAGTACAATGCGTATTGTGTGAACAAGGCAATTACGATCAGTTAGTTCAAAGGTTAGGGTTAATAGAGGAAAATGGAATTTTGAGGTGTACCGGTAGGCTCGGAAATTCGGATTTAGAGCAAGATGGTAAAAGACCAATCTTGTTACCGAAACAACACAGGTTTACACAGTTAGAGTAGTAGAAGCATGTCACCATAGAGTACACCACAGCGGGGTTAGATCCACATTAGCGGAATTACGTTCACGATTTTGGGTGCCAAAAGCTAGACAATGTGTAAAAAAGATTCTGAGCAGTTGCGTTACGTGCAAGAAATTAATAGGCAAGTCTTATCAACAACCGGTAACTGCAGCGCTACCAGAGTTTCGAGTAACCAAGGCGCCACCATTTTCACGGGTGGGAGTAGATTTTGCAGGACCACTTTATGCTAAACAAACAAACAGAGAAATGGAGAAAGTGTATATTACGCTGTTTACATGCTGCGTCACGAGAGCCTTGCATTTAGAATTAGTAGACGAAATGTCGACAGAGGCTTTCCAGCGTTGCCTGCGAAGGTTTACAGCGCGGCGTGGGATGCCCACACTGATAATTTCGGACAATGCAAAAACATTCAAAGCAACCGAAAAGGACTTGAGTAAGTTAATTAGTCATCCAGAAGTAAAGTCATTCATGAAGAATGCAAGAATAGAGTGGAAGTTTAATTTAGAAAAATCCCCATGGTGGGGTGGGTTCTTTGAGAGGATGGTAAGAAGTGTAAAAGAGTGTTTAAGGAAAACGTTAGGTACAGCTAGATTAACGAAGGAAGAATTAGCAACAGTGATAGTTGAAGTCGAATGTACGCTCAACTCTAGGCCCTTGACATACGAGTACGACGAGTTAGGGGAGGAAGTGTTAACGCCATCACACTTGATATTCGGTAGAAGGATAAACTCATTGCCTGATGTAGTAGAAGAGCCAGAGGAAGCTTTAGGAGAGAAAGAATATACGTCTAGGTTTAGGTACCTTACGAATAGGTTAGAACATTTTTGGAACAGGTGGAGAAAAGAGTATTTGATTAGCCTTAGAGAGTTTCATAGGACAAAGGGCAGGGAGTCAGCAACTGCGCCACAGATTGGAGAACTAGTTATAGTGGAGGACGAAGATAGAAAGAGATGTGAGTGGAAAATGGGGATGATAGTTGAGTTAGTCTATCCAGGCCAGTTCAAAAATTGTACCCGCTAGAGATAAAAAGCCCAATGGGAGGGGGTAGGGTAGGTACTGCGCACAAAAAATGTGCTGGCGCAGAAAACAACAAATCAAAGAGAAGCACTCCTCAGAGGAAGGCAGCGCTAGATGCGAAATGTTAATTTAAGTTAATGGAGGCTTGACTCGTAGTGTCAAGCGGGGGGAGTGTGTTGTGGAATTTAGTTAACGCGTGGTTGAGCACACCAACCATAAGAAAAGTCATTTACATAGTGTGCGCAGATATAGTGTTAGGGTCGTAAACTGTATATGTGTTGTAAAATGAATTGTTATGTAATGTTAATAGAATAGTGTAGTATAATATAACATAGGAAATGAAGGTTCGTGGTAGCACGTTGTAGCAACCGCGAAACCAGTAATAACGTAAACGGACGCAAATGTGGGCTGTAGGGGAGGAAAAAACCACAGAAAAACATCCTGTGGTTCGGTAAGAGATGCGTCAGAGAAACGCATCATTGTTTGGTAAAGCATCCTGTTTTAGTATTATAAATATAAGTTGAAATCATTGTTGTAAGTTAGTTGTGTATTAGAGCGTGAATTGTTAATTCCTGAATAAATGTAAAATTATATACAGTCCCAGTGTGTGAGATTGTGGACCAGCGAAGCGGAAAATCAGCCTTGTTTGGAGATTTTCAACAGGATGTTCCATTGACCAGTAGAATACAACACTTAATTAAATTTGCTGATAATATAGATAACAGATTCAGTTACCATTATGCAAGTCATCCACGATTTTCACACTGGGCTTTAAATATGCTGCAAAGAAAACGTACTTTACAACAAAATAGCATTTTTCTGAAACAAAACCCAGAAAAAGCTCATTTAACAATTGAGGAATTGCGTGAAATGGCTCTTCACCAGCCTCGTCCCCGGCGCGTGTTTTATCAATCGGTGTTTTATTAATATTAATCGCGTAGTAATGTTTGTCTCGCGGGAGGACACGCACGAAGCGACAGCGTGGGGGAGAATGCGCCTGGCAGAAAATGTTTCGAAAAGTGAAATTTGTGTCGAAAAGTGAAATTTGTGTCGAAAAGTGAAATTTGCATTGTTGATAATCTTTGATACCTTGAATAAGAACAGCATTACAGTATTAAATGGTTGAAGAACTTAACAAATCGTTTGAAAATGTGAATATTGAAGGTAAA